CAAGCGAGGTGGTCGCTAGAGCTTAGCGAATACGATTTTGTGCTAGTGCACAAACCCGGGAAACAGCACACCAAGACGGACGCACTGTCTAGGCGTGGGGGGCACGAACGAGGAGAGTTGGATAACTCCAACATTACCCTCTTGCCAGAAGGACGGTTTGCGAAACCGGGTTCTCGACAACCCGGCGCGGAATTCTTGCGGGCGATGCCCGCGGTCCTAGACGACACCCCGGGGGACCAGTTTATGAAGGACATCAAGGACGCCAAAGACAAGTGGGAGGACCTGGTAGTGGAGGCGGTACGGGAAGGCAATAACGGGTGGGCAGAAGTGGACGGATACGCAACCAAGGACGGGCTGGTCTACGTACCGGCCGACGAGCTACTGCGACACCGGGTTACTCGCGCTCACCACGACGACTACCTTTCTGGACACCCCGGGCGGTATCGCACGGCCGAGCTAATAACCCGGAACTACTACTGGCCAAGCGTGGTAAAAGACACGAAGAAATATGTGGCTGCTTGCCCCACCTGCCAACGGACGAAGATTTTCCCTGCCAAACCCCGTGGAGCGCTACACCCTAACGCGGTCCCGGAGCGCCCTTGGCAGAACATTTCTATCGACCTGATCGTCAAACTGCCAGAGAGCAATGGCTATGACTCTATTGCGGTGATCGTGGACCGGCTTAGCAAGGCCATCCGGGTTATCCCCTGTACCGAACACATCAGCGGCGAAGGGATCGCTCGGCTCTATCGTGATCACGTCTGGAAGGACTATGGGATTCCCGAGGTGGTTATCAGTGACCGGGGGCAGATATTCGTGGGCCACTTCATGCGGGACTTGCTTAAGCTCTTGGGCGTTAAGTCCAACGCCTCGACGGCTTATCACCCTCAGACGGACGGGCAGACGGAACGGGTAAACCAGGAGGTCGAACAATACTTGCGGGTTTTCACCAATTTCCTACAAGACGATTGGGCGGATTGGCTGTCGATGGCTGAGTTCAGCTACAACGACAAGGTTCACACGACGACGGGCTTTAGCCCGTTCTACACTATGCTGGGCTTCCACCCGCGGAAGGGGACAGAACCCCGGCTGGCGGTGCCGACGGAGGCGGCCGAAGACTTCGCGAAGCGAATGCACTCTGTACGAGAAGAAGCAGCTGCGGCTATGCGAGCCGCACAAGAGACCATGAAGCGGTTCTACGATAAGAAACGCGATGCAGACCCGGGTTATGAACCCGGGGACAAGGTGTATCTGTCGGGAAAGAACCTGAAGACGCATCGACCCATGAAGAAACTGGACGATAAACGCCACGGGCCGTTCACGATCGTGCGGAAAGTGGGAGCCATCTCTTATGAGCTGGACCTACCAGCCAGTTGGAAGGTGCATCCCGTTTTCAACACGGTATTCCTGCGACCGTGGGTGGAACCCGTCGCGGAACATCAGCGGGCCGGTAAACCGCCGCCGCCTGACGTGGTCGACGGAGTAAACCTGTACGAGGTGGCCGAAGTCCTCCGGATTCGACCAAGGAACAAGAAGCTGCAGTACTACATCCGATGGGAGGGTTACCCAAAGGAGGAATGCACGTGGGAGCCACGAAGGAATCTCATCGGTGCAGAAGAAGCCCTGGAGGAGTTCTACGAGAAGAACCCGCGGGCGCCACGGGAGGTACAAACTCCTAAAGGCCGTTGGAAGATCCAGAAACGTTGACGACCGATGCTTCGGGGACGAAGCATTCTTAAAGGGGGGGGTAATGTCATGATCCACTCATTTTTCACCTTTTCACCCATCACCAACAACCCGGATCCGGGTTCTTGCCTTTACCCCTTCGGGGTTCTTGACCACCCCTTTACCCCTTTGAACCCGGATCACTGACGCGCCAGATCCCTCCTCAATCCCTAACTCCTGGACTTCACCCCTGGTTCCTCCCTCCTTACCGTCACTCCTGACCCTGGCTCCTTACTGTTGTGGAGCGGTCCCTGTTTCACTCCTAGCTCCTAGTGCACTATATAAACCTAGACCTCAGTAGTAGATCTTTACACTATTCTAGTCTATTCTCCAGAGTTTAATCGACGCACTTGCCTATCTTCTTGTATCGCCCAGCCGCCTACGTCGCAGTAATCCTGCAACCAAGCTCTGTGCTGACACGAGCCGTCGACAGATACCAAGCCTTATCCATCCTTCGTCGACCAATCTTGTTTTACGATGGCGGAGCGCAGCGCTAAGAAGGCGGAATGGCGGAATCTTTCGTCGGCCCACAATTCGTCGGAGGCGGAGCGCGTTCGCAAGAACGTCGAGAATTACGAGGCCGATCATGGCGCCTGGGAGATACGGGCTTCCATACGCGTCGACAAGGCCCGGGAACGCGAGGGACGCCAAACGCAGGTTATTTCGGAGTACAACCGTCGTCGCGAGCGCGCCCTCAACGACGCCCAGGCTGCGTTTAACACTGCTGGCGCGTATCTTGTTTTCCTCGTCACCGAGGACCTTCGTCGGAACCGCCTTGCCGAAATAAAGGAAACCAGCGTCACCGCCGAGTCCGATCCAGCCTGGCTCCCGCAGCGCTGCCGTGGCTCGACCGTTCTTCATCCCGCGGTAGAGGCGCTTACCGAGGCGGACCTCCCCCGAGCCGTACTCGACGAAGTCCTTGGGCCGAAAAACTTCAAGGAAGATCTTTCCAAGTACGATTTGTCGACTCTAGTGACGATCCTTCGGGTGATGAAGATCCAGGGGTACGAGATCGGGGAGAAGCGCGCCGAGCAGTATATCGACCTGTACATCGGCCCCCGCAACGAGTACAATCCCGACGAGTGGCACAAGGCCAACCTCCCTTTCGATCTTCACGGGGGTACCGGTCGTCGCGTTCGTGGGTGGTCGGTTGACGCGGAAAGTTCTTCCTACGTTGAGGGTTTTGTGCAAGATGAGCTGCTCGCCGCCGCCGTTCCGAGGCGCATGTTCTTCTCTCGCGGTATCGTAAGTTTCTATCTTCGTTTATCCATTTTTCCTCGGCTAATTCCCAACTGTCCCAATTAGGGTTGTATAGAATGCCATTTCGGGTTGATTCCCTGTATTCGCGTAATGTATGGCGAGAAGGCCGACGGGGCTTGTATCCACTGCCGCGCCAAGAAGACCAAGTGCATTCAGACTCCCGGAAGATATTGTTTCGCGATGTCCGGTAAGTTCTCGTTTTCCTGGAAAATTCTTCCGGGCTGACTTTTTCCTTGTGAAGATCGAATTCTGGCTCTCTTCAACGAGCAGTGGATCCTCTTCGTTGTTTTGGAAGCCCTCCGCGACCAGCATCGTTTCGCCGGTGGCGGGCTCGCCGAGTCGATCCTCAGTCTTCTTTTTCGTTGGATTCAAGCCTCCCGTGGAATGGACGCGTCCGCGCTCGCGCGTCGTTCTTTCTACGACCTTCTCGCGCAGGCGCCGTCTTCCGCCTCTCCTGGGAAACCAGAGTTTGCGATGCCTCCTGGTCTTGCGAAGGCCTTCGAACCGGTGGAAGGTGGAGTCGGGGCCGGCGGCGGGGAAGAAGGGGAAGAAGTCGAGGATGTGGTGGACGTCGAGGTGGCCGTTGGCGCGAAACGGAAGGGGAAACGTCGGGCTTCTAACGAACCCGCAGGTACGTCCTCGGTAGTTTTGCTTTCCAAACCGCCGCCAACGTTTCTTAACCAGGGAATTCCGCCAAGCGTCGCCCTCACCGCGAGACGTCTATGCCCTCCATCGTTATTATGCAGGAGCAGGGGACGGACGCCGCCGATGGTGGGGAACGCGGGGCCCAGACCTCGCCCGTCGAGCCACCTCCATCGTATTCGGGGCACGCCGCCGTGGATTCGTCGCCCCCGCCCGACTCGATGCTGGGTACGAAGTCTTCCCTCTCCCGTGCCTCATCTCCGCGCGTGCGCTCGCCGCCCTCTTCCTCGTTGTCGGGCGCCCTCGGCATATTCGGTCCTGCGAACAAGTTGCTTTGTCCTCCTGACGTTCCTCGCGGCTCCGTCCCGCCCGTCGCCCATCTCCCGCTCGCCGCTGATCGCCTCTTCGATAGTGACACCGTCGTCGCTCCTCCGGAAAATCCTTCCGGCGCGGTCTCAGGTGGCGGCGTCGTTCCTCCTTCCGCGGACGCGATGGATACTGGTTCGTAGGGGTCCTGGTGCTTCGTGGAAGTTTCGTCCGGGCTGCTTTTTCGGATTCCCGCATACTCTTGATTCGTTTCCCTTGAACTCCCCAGCCTTGCTGGGTCGAGCAGAGGTGTACCCATGTTTGATTCTCGTTGCTGTCGTCTCCGTCGTCGCCCTGTTGGGCCTGTATCGTATTCTGTGTCCGCGTTTTGTTCGTCCTCGGTAGTTTTTGCTTTATACCGTAACCACCAGCAGTAGTAGTATTGTTTTCTTGATGTTCCAATGAACAATGTCTTGATTTCTTCCGTGTGAACCTAAGGGAAAGAGAAGGAAAAATAAAAGAAATTGTCCAATTTTGCCCTTCGAGCGAATTTCGACGCGTCGCGTCGCGGTCACGTGCGGCTTCAAGGAGCGCGAATTTTCGAGTGAAACTCGAATATTCGCGGTTTCCTTTTAGCGCCTTGCCTAACCAAGCTCCCGTGGCGCAGGGTGCGTTCTTCCACCGAATATTGACCTTCAGAGACACCTTTTCTGGAAGATCTAGGGTTCGATTCCCTACGGGGGCATAGCTGATGTTTTTGATGGACTATTTCTCATTTCCTTTTCTTTGGTAGTCCTATATTGTGGATCTTTCTCCTTGTGATGTCGCCTCGATGGCGCAGGGTGCGTGTCCTCCCTGATCGTCATTTGTATTTCTTCATCGAGGATCTGGGGTTCGATTCCCCGTCGAGGCCTACTGTTTCACCTTGTCCCTCAGGGACGAGGTGGAATGATCCCCCTTTTTCTTTTTCTTTTCTTCTTTGTAGCCGGATAGTTTAGTTGGCCCGCGAGAGCCTTTAGTCCATGTCTTGTATGTCGAGTATTTATTGAAACTCCCTTGTGAGCATCGCCGCGATGGCGCAGTGGTGCGCATCCTCTGAACTTCGCCAATAGGGTATCATTTCTGAGGACCCCGGGGTTCGACTCCCCATCGTGGCATACTGATCCTGCCTCCTCTCCGAGAGGAGGCGGGACCGTACCCTTTTGGTGAAATACTCGAAGCCCGTGCTTTATCATAGCCTCAGTGGCACAAGGTGTGCGTCCTCTCCAAGTAGGTGTTGGATTTCTTTCTGAGGAACTCTGGGGTTCGATTCCCCGCTGAGGCATGGTATTGTCGGATTTCATGTTTTTCGCATTCGTGGAGGTTTCGGCTTCTTCTTTCGTATCAGGAGATTCTAGCCGGAACGCGCGCCATCTTGGTTTCCCAAACGTTCGGGAATCGGTCGCGCAGGACATGTCCTTGGCCTCCCTGGAAAGTTTTTCCCGACTGGGTTTAAGTGCGCTATTCCGGTTTTCTCCCCGGGAGCCCCTTTCCGGAAGTTTCGTCCAGAGGAGGTTTCCGAGTTATTCTTTCGTTGGTTCATTTCTTCGGGGCGATTTCGGCGAGGGAGACGAAAAAGGGAGTCGAAGTTTTCGGAGGAAAGAATGAAATTGAAGTGAGAGTTTAGGCGAAATTACAGGGTTTTTGGCATAATGGATTCTGGAAGTCCGTGTCTTGCTTCATCCTTTTCTACTTCTTCTTATTCAGGGATCGCTGACTGCCCCTCGAATTGTCTCCTCCCGTTGTCTCCCCATTGCGGTTCCTTTCCTTTCTTGGGTTTGGGTATTTTCGGCTCCACGAAGCTGGTGACAGGAACCCTAATTCGGGATCGTGGGAAATATGGGATTAGTCGGAAGGCGGCGACCGGCGTTTTGGAGACGGCGCCGTTCATTTCCGCGATTACGTATGAACCCTCCGATTTGCGCTGGATGACAACCATGGGCCCCGAATAGCGTGGTTTGGCTTTTCGCGACCACTCGTTTTCAACGGAGGAGTTTCGTAAAAGTACGAGGGAGCCCGAGGGGAAGTCGAAATCCTTGATCTTCTTTTTGTTGTCCTTTTCCCACTGCCTGGCGCTTTTAACCCGGGATTCGTACACCTTGCTTCGCAAGTCGGACAATTCTTCCGGACGTTTCATCAACTGCAGTGCTCGCATCCCGATCAAATCCTCGGTAGAAAGTTGTTCTCCGGAGATTTTGATCATGTATGTGGCTTCAACGATGTCGAAGGGAAATAATGGCTCGACCCCATGAGCAAGGTAGTAGGGGGAGTATCCGGTGGATTTCTGGATGGAGACACGCTCCGCCCAAAAGATGTAGAAAATCCGTTCCGTCCATAGGTCGAGGTTGCCTTCGCAGGCTTTCGAGATGGCTTCCCGCACGTCGTAGTGCCGCCTTTCCACGATGCCGTTGGCCCTGGAATTGTAGCCGGAGATGCGGATATGGTTTATCCCGTACTTCTTTGAGAGCCATTCCACCGCTTTGATCCAAGCCGCTCCGTTGTCTGTGACGATTTCTTCGACGGCGCCCCATCTACACAACACTTCCTCGAAGATGAAGCAACCCAGGGAGTAAGCGTCCTCGTTTTCCAGCATCCGCCATTCGGGCCAACTGCTCAAAGAGCACCGTCCCTGGGCGAGATATCGGTATCCGTTTGCGCGAGGTAGCATCATGGTGTCTCCGTGGAATTTGTGGAAGAGGGGTAGGGGCATGGCGACAATGGGGGGAATGTTTATACGGAGTTTGGACCGGATTTGGCACTCGTGGCACGTCTTTAGAAACCATTTAAGGTCTTTATCCATGACTGGCCACCAAAACCTATCCATTAGGCGCTTCCGGGTAATATAGAATCCTTGTGTCCCAAGTCGTCGTGGACCTGTCGTAGGACCGACGCTCGTTTCTCGGGAGGCAGCACAAGTTTGTGTTCGTGGTGCTCGTCCCTGCGCCAGAGGCCTTCATCCAAGATGAAGTATTTGCTGGCTTTCCTGGCGAATCGTTCAAATTTAACGTTGTCGTCGGACATTTCCTCCGGCCTCTCGCGTCTCTTCAGGAAAGCCTCTATTTGGACCAGCTGGGCATCGGCTGCGATTGACTTCTCGTCCCGGGGAATTTCGAATTCGATGTCGTCGATGAGTTTCATATATACTCGAACCGGTGGCTGTGTTTCGAGAGCGGGAGTAGGTTGGAATTTCTGTCCGGTTGTTTCTCCGGTCGCGGGCCTTCCGTTTATGAGGAGCTGATGGGCGGGGATAACCTCCATTATCGAAGCTTTCTTCCGCCTTCCCCAATTCATAACCTGGATCGCGAATCCACATGCCCGGTCGATCCATTCATCAACGTCTTCCTCTTGCTCCGGATCTTCGTCCGCCGGTTTCCTTCTGGACAATCCGTCCGGGGTATGGGTTGCTCCTGGCGTATGTTCTAGTTCAAAGTCGAATAGCAAGATGCCCGCTATCCATCGGTTTGCCGCTGCGTTGGGTTGTATGTCGGGATTGTTGAGCATGCCCTTGATGTATTTGGCGTCCACTCGCACGAGGAGGTCTTTGACTCCGACGATGTAAAGTCGGTAGGCTTTCAGGGCTCGGAACAAGCCGTAGAGTTCCAACTTTGCTTGTGAATAACGGGATTCCCGCTCATTCCAGGTGACTGATCCGAATCTGGAAGGATATTCCAGACCATCGGCACCAACTTGTGAGAGGATAAATCCAGCTCCTCGGAAGGAAGAATCTACCGCCATAATCACCCGTCTGCCGCACGCGTAGTCGATTTGCCGTAAAGCCGGCGAGTTGATTAGCAAGTGCTTTAGCCGATCCATCGCGATTTGTTCGGTGCTGCCAAAGATGAATGGGGCATCCTTCCGTAATAGTCTTGTAAGTGGCGTGGCGATCCTCGGCGAAATTGTCCATGAAGATCCTCATTAGCCCGAGCGTCCCTAAGAACGCCCGTACGTCCGTAAGATCTTCGCAGGGTGGCCAATCACGGATTTTCTGAACTTTGGACTCGTCCGGAGTCCTTCCTTCGATACTGCACATGTGCCCAACGACTTTTATCTTCGGGACCGCGAAAAAGGACTTTTTCGCGTTGAATGTTCCGCCTGCGTGTCTTATACGTTGGAGAATGCGGTTTACGTTCAAGAGGTGTTCCCAGACAAATCTGCGAATACCCTTGTTTTCGGGGATGGTTTCGAAGTCTCCGTTTTCCAGAAGGTGATACGTAGTCGGTCCTTTGACGGGCGTATCGTCCACAAAGGGTTGCGTAATGTGGGGAATTTCGTCCTGGAGGATAAAGTTTACGTCTCCTTGTTGAATTTGAACGGAGTTCGTATATCCTTGGGGTAACCTGGTAAGCCTGAGAGTTCCGAAGGGTCCTTGAAAAGTCGTAAAGTCCCGGGATGCTATGTCCAGCATTCTGTGATCGAACCCAACGAATAGATCGAACATCCCGTATATGGCGCAACCTCCGAAGGATTCGGCGTAAACTTCCACGATTGGCGGGCAGCCGGCGTCTTTTACGACCACTCCGTTTAGCGGTTGTAGATTGTGGACCAGACGCAGGGCGCCGTTTGATTTAGGTACCACGAACCAATTGGAGCGATACGAGGAGCTCGAGGGTTCGTAAACGCCCGTTCTGACCTTCCCGCGTATTATTTCCACGACCTCGTCTCGTATCCCCGGTGGTATAGGAATGTTACGTTCCTGCCAAGGCGTGTGGGCAAGCACCGGAATTTTGACTGGCTCGAAATAATCTTCCCGGAAGTGTCCTCTCTCCGACTCGTCCCATGCGAAGGCCATTTCGTGATTGCGGATTACTTCATGGACCAGTCTTTCTTCATCATCCCATAGAAACCCGTCGGGGTTCACGTTCATTTCCTCCGCCCTTTGTTTGGTGTATCTTTCTCCTTCTCGGAAGGGTCCAGGCCGAGGATTCAGCACCGGCATGCCCTCCAACGGATCAGACGGGAAGTGCCGAATGACGCGAAATTCTTCCGGCAACGTCGCCGATACCGAATGCACCCTGTCGGCCATCGGCTTGTACTTTTTCTTCGGCTTCTTTTTCTTCTTCGGCTTCTCTTTTTCTTCCTCCGTTACTTCGTTTATGAAAGCGTGCGCTTTTTCGTCGTAAGTGTAGACCTGCGCCAGACAATACCCCAGGTACCGGGGCGAGATCTCCCACTGAATCGTTTGGTCATGAATAAAAACTCGTTTGCAGTCGGCTGTATTAGTGCCTATGGGGGAATATAGAAGCATAGGAGATGTGAATCGATGGAATGATAGTTCTGGGATCTTGTTTTCTCTTCCTGGAACTTCTGTCCAGGAGCGCCTTTTCTCACTAATCCGCCAGAAATTTGTCGATACCGTAGGTTTTCTTGGAGGGCTCGGCACCGGACTGCCCTCCCTCATGGAAAAACCATATCGTAATCCTCGTCCTCGACGTTGACGACGAAAGGCAAGGTTTCCGCGAGGGGTTCGGTGAAGCTGACCGACTTCGGAGGTTTTATCCGGGTAGCCACGGTTTGAACATTCCCCGTATTTGGGCAAGTTAACGTGAGCTCCTGCGAACCGTCTGTATAATCCTTGGTGTGGCATTCGGTAAATCGGAAGAAGGGCCTGCCGACCAAAATGTCGAATGGCGCGCCGTCTACCACATGGACCTGAAGGTGGAGATCTATTCCGCCAAGAGAAAATTTGAGGTTCTCTACCACCCCTGCCGTTACCGATTGATTCGAGTCGGCGGATTCCATCGTTAAGGTCTTTTCCGGGGAAAGGGAGACTCCCAGGCTTTGCCAGACGTTACGATTCATCGCCACAATTTCCGACCCTTGGTCGAGCGTGCAGGTAATTTTGTGCGTTGTAACGGCGCACCGAAGGGTAGCCGTGTAATCAAAAGACTCAAGATTTCAAGAAGCGAAGCGATGAAATCACAACACAACCCAAAAACCCTAAGATCTTTATTTTGTTTTATCACAACTCAGGCTTCAGGTGTTAACCTTGCGGCGTGCGTATGTGAGTTCGGGGGAAGTAGGGTACGTATCACCCGTCAAGATTGTGTATGTTCAGTTCAAAGGACCTGGCGGGAAAGCGGGCTATTTATATCTCTAGCAGCGAGCTGGCTAATTGAGC